AGGAAGAAGTAGGAGAGGAAAGGGGAGGGGGAGGGGGTCAAAAGCGTCTCAGCGGTGCTGGGGATGGGGCGGCAGGAAAGGGGAGGAGGGAACAGGGAGCAAGGCAGCTTTTCCAGGTGCGGGGACCCTCCTTAAAAATTAATTTTGCCGTGCACAGTACGCGGACTGGCACCGCGATTTGAGCGAATTGCGGAGGAAGTAAGCGACGTCCTTCAACCGAGATGCGCACGTTTTGCGGATCTTTTTTTTTACTTTATCCTCCTTGCCTTCTCCCGCTTCACCTTCTTCGTGATTCCATGCACACTCAGACAGGCGCGGACTAATATTTCTCTTCTCCAGGTTACTGCTCTCCAGAGGCGTGTTTGTGATCCTCGCCGGCCCCTGCCAATGGAATATTTTTGATTATTTCGTGCCTGTGTCATATGATTATTTGAGTTCGGTTTAATAATTATTGCCTCGTAACGATTGTTGCCGTTATGTGCTGATATATTTCTGAAACTACTCAGCTGATCATTGGTTCTATTTTAAAATCTGGAACTTGCGATGGGGAACCCTTGAGAAATTGAGCATATGTGGTGATTGGCTGATTTAATTTGATTGTACTACACTGCCGACGATGATGTGTTATCTACCTGTCCGAATGTTTCAGTGATAATTTATTTGTTTGATAATTGATAATAGTTTGTTTTGCCTCAAGCATATTTTACATATATCATTCAGTAATTGCCGAGGATTTCGCACAGTTTCCCAAAGATTGTCAGAGCAGTTTCTGAAATGGCTCTTTCTTTGTTTCTAAACTAAATGCGGTACCCCGAAAATGGTATATAATGTAAATTGCTTCTTGCGACACTAAGCTGTGGGTTTCAACACTTTTAGTGACCGTGTTGAATCTTAACTCTGGTGTTCTTAGTATTTGTAAATAGTAAAGGTAAATATTTGAAACAGAATTTCACTTTGAATCTCACTTGTGTTTCAAGGAAATACTATTACTTTACAAAAAAATTAATGAAAAAAGGTAAAGTCTATGAACTACGTTTATTAACTTACTTCTCTTTCTCCGTCAATACACAATGTTTCCGCCGATACGTAGTATCTCTTTCCTTTATTCAGTTTTTTTATGTAGTAAAATGAATAAAGGTAATAGACCCCTCAATGTATCCTAATTATGAAAATAATATTGTCCGAAGAAGTTAGTACTGATTGAATAAGAATTAAGCAGAATCATCTATAGTGTTCTGTACTACTTTGTTTATGATAGAATGTAATACTTTCCCCCTCAAACTAAAGATGAAAATGTTTCTTTTCATTGTTTTCCTTTTCATGAACGTTAAATGGATAATGTTGTAGATTATGATTTTCCAAGGTTTAATAATAATATTCGCATGCATGTTGTCCTACTTACGCTAATATTATGAGGTTTAAAAAGTTGTTGAAGTTACTTGCTCTTGATCAAAATAGCAAAAAATGAAACATCAATTAACGTAGCGGTTTCAGATTAGGTTAAAACTTTTTTCTTAACTCAGCAGCATAACAGATAACCCCTTCAGAGGTGCATTCTATAATAAAATCACTAAAGTAGTAGAGATATTAATTGCTGCGATTTCACTATAAATTCGATCTTCTCGTGTGTTATTAACTCTTCAACACATATCTCCTGTAATAACAGATTGCTACATATTTTTGGCACTTCATATATTACTTGGTTCACATTCAGTATAAAAATAATGTGCTCTGTTGGTTGTATTCTAATGTGAGACTTCATAAAAATTCAGGATAATACTCAAGATTGATGTAGATATATTACATGCACTTTGTCGAAATGATTTATAACTACTTTATTTACAATCTTTTCACACTATTGTGTCTGTGTGATACACAATTTACCCAGTTGCAACGGGTTGACTTTTCACTTGCAACCAATTAGGCAACTTGCAACTTTTCACTTGCAACAAAACAACTGTTAACTCTAACATAAAAGCATAATCAATATTTAATCTATACTTCTATGAACGTTGTCTTTGTAAATTGTTTAAGAGAGTATATCAATTGTTTATGGCATTCTCATTAATTCTATAACAAATTAGGTTCATCTTTAGCAGCAGTTTTTGAACTTTCGCCACTGTGAACACGAAGGCAAACAAAACTCAACCTGATCGTCTGCCAACTTTCGTCGTTCTACTGCGTCTGTGGCGTCTGCCTTAACGTCTGGCTTCTCTCGTTTGCGGTTTAACTAGTCAAAGCTGTAAACACTTAATACTCAGGTGTAATCATATTGGTTCTCATACTAACGTGAACGAAAGAAAAATGAGTGCATTGTACCCGAAAGAAAAAGTCACAGGTGTTATTACCGAAATGTTTTGATTTAATTGGAGCTCATGAAAAAAGTACGGACATTTTTGTAATTATTCTCAGAAAATAATAATTCTCGAAGTATGAATATCTGTCTCATTAATTTCTTGTTTATGAATAGGAAACAGTATTATGTGATAAGTCATCACAAATGTTAATTCAGAATTTTATCTTCCCACTGCCCTATTCAGACCAGGAACATTCTCTTTAGCTACACAATGTCATTAAAATAGTGTGTGAGAAATTTGAAATATTTCAAACATTATTACTTTAATAATAAACGAAATTATTCAAAAGATAACATTTTACACAAAGTATAAACCATATTATAACCATGGATGTTTTTACTCTTGCAAATATTTGTCCTAACATTCGCGAGGTTTTTTTTACGAATAATGCCTAAATATTTGTTGTTTCGTGACTCCTTTCGTGTACAATAAACAGTGTATTGACTTGAATACGTGTTTTCTGTGGGTCAGAGAAAGAGTCGTTTTAGAGTAGAAATAATATTTCGAATTTTTTTTTTCAGATGCCGCCCCGCATCTGGCCTACGAGTTCATCGAGCAAACCATGCAACCGGGTCCCTCCGTGTCGCTGAAGTGCATTGCTGCGGGCAACCCCACGCCGCACTTCTCCTGGACGCTGGACGGCTTCCCGCTGCCCACCAGCGACAGGTGGGTGGGCGCCCATCAACAGACCCCAGCTCCTCTTGCTTTTACATGGAATTTTCTGAATATGGGGGAAAACTGTCATTTGTTTTACTCATTTCCAATACGCGTAGAAGTTAAAAGAAAACTATGTACCCACCGGTCATGTGTGAGGTGACGTTAGATACACATGAACTCTAGAAAAATTCGAAAACAATTAAACAGTTCCAATTTTGACTGAAAATACAAATATATCATTATTGTATTCCGCCTCTTACTTTTCATACCGACTGATTCCTCATACTTAGTTCGTCACTGTGTTCACATCTGATGTCATGCCATAGTAAGGTTGCGCGCCCACCTTCAAATATTATGTAATAATGTGTTGCGGTATGGATCAGCACCATTTTTGACATTTTTGATACAAATGCAAATCACTGCTACTAGGTATATAGTACAGGCTCGTGGCTAGCTCTTGGTCAGCGTGCTCGCTTTCCACGACGCTGCCCCGGCCGAGCCAAGACTAGCGTGCGTTTTCATTGCAATGTCACAGTATACGTTGCTGTGTGACGATGAGAAAATTCACTTCTCAAGTTGAGAAGACCGGAATACGGCGTGGGGATGTCCACGTGCTAACCGCACGTACCCCCTTAAACCCATGGTCACGAGGTTGGCCTTAGCCCGTTCACGGGCTGTCGCGCCAACTACATATATACATGTGTAGAGTACCATACTGCAGTGTGTATATGCTATGTTATTCTAGTATTCATGCGGTATGTTTTTTATATTTAATTTATATCAGTGTTAAACAAGAGTAAATTTATTTATCGTTCTTCAGCACTGTCCTTCCTACATTTTGGAAAACAATTTTGTGTATTTTTTTCTGCAGAAGTATTGCTGTTGCTGCAAGCAATTACTAGATATATATTTGTTTACCTGTTTCCCCACTACGAGAAACATTTACAGCAACGGGAACAGACATTTTTCCACTACATTTTTTATTTTTTAAAACTTCTGTGACATCTCCATCGCTTGTCGCAGACTTTTTGAATCAATGCGATGGCTCATTCCAGGATGGAAGATCTACCATTCGCGCGGCCGTAAGAATGGGAATGAGGATGGGGTAGGGAAAGGAGGTTAAGCAGGGTGAGCAAGAAATTATCGCGTGCTCTCTAAATACTTTGGTGCTCCCCGCCTGCAAGTGTCAGGGAAAAAATTGTCAATCTAATCCATCAAATTGAGCTGAAGACGGTGGTGTATTTTTTCTTCCATTCGATATTACTCACCTGTATATAATAATGCGAATATGAGTGATTTGGGGGTCTCCAGTTCGATTCTCGTAAGGTTACAGATGTTTACTTCATTCGGTTAACATCATTAGTTTTTTGGGGCCTGAGGAAACCGAATTAGTAAGCTGAGTGCTCTGGTAATTGAAGCCTTGCAAAGTCAAAGGAGCTAATTGCCAAAAATGTTGTTTTTTTCTCAGTAAATCGATAAAAGTTGTATGAATTTGTTCTTGATATACAACCTAAACCATCACTACATAGATGTTACAACTACTTGCAAGGTGTTTGTAACATCGGTCTTTTAACAGTGTATTGGCATCGATTGATATAATATTCAGATGTCAAAACCTTCGTTTCGAACATTTTGGTACCGCTTTGGCTTTCTCAGGCACCACAAAATTAATTATGTTAACCAAATAAGGTAAATTTCTTCAACTTTCGAGATTTCTTCAAAAATCGAACCGGAGATCCCCAAATCACTCATATTCGCATTATTATATGCAGGTGAGTAATATCGAATGGAAGAAAAATACACCACCGTCATCACCTCAATTTGTTGTGTTAGATTGACGAATGTTTCTCGCGTCATTTAGCTGAGATGCTTAATTGCAGTTTCTGGTCAAATCTTCTTCTCTCTCTTCCAGAAACTTGTACTTAAACTGAGTTTAGGCGTTGATTATTTGTAACTAGTGTTAAAGAAAATCTAGTATTTTTTTCTGATACAGGCGACGAGAAAGACAAACCGCAAAATTTTGAATTGACGGAATTAGGGTGCATATTACGAAAAACCTGTATCGCGCACAGCCCTCCGATCGCACCCGACCTCCCGGCCGTCAGATTTGGAGACGGTCGGCCAGCCGACAGAATGACTGTGCCCACACTCCGCAAATGGGCTCCTGAGTCTGCAACAGCTCTCCCAGACTGGGAAACGTGTGTTAATTTCCTGTGACATTCAGCGCATCCTCCGACGGAACTGGAAAATTACACAAAACACTTTCTCCGGGTGTATGTGCAGCTGAGGCCAAAAATATAAAGGAAGTATTTCTCCTTTAACAACTAAATATATTATGACTCGTTTAAATATAAAAATCTACTGCGGGTAGCAACCAGCTTCTTAAGGAGCGGTTATATGGACTTCGATGCCTCTACAACACTGAGCAGCACGTGGAACACGCAACAATTGGACAGATATTTGCAAGCCATACTCAATACTTCTTAATATCTATCTGAAAATACTAGAATCTCAAAAATATATTCTTTACGATTAAAAACATCTAAAATATCTTGTGCATCGTTGTTTTTCTAGTATCAGAAAGCTTATCTATTTACACAAGCGCACACAAAAACTCGAATTTAACGTGATTCTACATGCACGTAAGACAATCTGGTTATTTACACAATAAATTTTCGAATGATTAATTTTTATAAATATGTAACTATATTTTTTCTGTTTTTATGTAATTCGTCTTTAAAGGTATTGCTCCTGGGTGTAGGACTACACCACTATCATGCCTATGCAGAAAAGGAATATCGCAAGCATTATGTTCAACAGATTTTTGCTGTATTGTGAAATAATGCGGTATATTCAATAATTTTAATTTAAATTGTGAATAATGAGGACCAATAACCAGAAGGTGGATTTGCATGTAAAGATTAAATGTTATTTCGTCAACATAGTGTAACTTTGGCCTGATTATTGAAGGTGAATCATTTTAGGTGAAGAATCACTCCAGCATGATACTCATAATATTAGTAATAAATAATTTTGTCGATAAAATTATGAATAATATGATATTATGATTAATTTTAATGTGAATAAACAATTAAAATTGGGACATACTTATGTGCGGAATCTCCAAATAGTTATAAAATAATAATAATAATAATAATAATAATAACAATCGATTGCTTTATTGATAAGAGCCCACATTTAGCGCAGTGTTGTAGAGGTAGTGAAGTCCATAGATCTGCTCCTTAAGGAGCTGGTTGCTACCCGCAGTAGATTTTTATATTTAACCGAGTGATAACATATTTAGTTGTGACTTATAGAAGAAATAATTCCGTTATATTTTTGGCCTCAGCTGCACATATAAAAAATGATTTTCTGTGCATTTAAGTCTACAATATTGTTTCTAAATGTCTAAAATTTCTGCCATCCGTTATCTTGACTCGCTGTTGTCTCAAAAACAGAGTGTCTAATATCCAAGTGTCAAATATCACTTGCATTAATTCATCGAGTAATTATGATTTAAATATTATTTGCATTTTTATTATTGCATACGTTTGAGTTTGTGTACAACGCAATCATCTCAGTTTTAAAATGTCAGTCCATGTCACGAGAAATGAGCACTCATCCTATAACACTCTGTACACAAAGTTCCTCGGAGAGTGCCCGGTGCATGTAACCTCATGGGTAAGCCATAATATTGCAAATCAAAATCACCCAAAGCAATATTCTGATTTTACATTTGTTGTAAGTGGGATTTTTCAATAATTAATATATTGATAGATCATGCGTAAGTTTCTTTTAGAAGATGCTGATTTCCGTTTATCTCACCTTAAATGGGCTCCGCATTGTTTTTAGACGGGGCTGAATTTCATTTCCTCATTTTGCTGCGCGTTCGCTCTCGTCGGTAGATGGGTTTCAATTGTGAAGCAACACCGGGCTGCGCACATCGTTGTTTTGACAGCCACACGTCGAAAATTAGAATTATGTTTACCGACCATGTCAATCTCGCTTTGATGGAACTGTGAAATTTGGAACGTAGAGGTATTCACTAAAGGAGAAACTTTTGAACATGTTATAAAACCCATATTTCAAGAATATATTCTTTTAATGGAGTTTTGTTGCTAAGTATTGTTATCTTATTGCAAATCGACTTCACATAAAACTCGCAATCCGTACTTCTAAAGGTATTATCGTATTTTTAGTAATTTATTGTTTAATGTTATTCACAAAGTTTAAATAATTAATCAGAATGCCTTTGAAACAAGTTTGATAAATTGTAATGACGTATATGTTTATCAGTTATATTTTTTTTATTTATCGGGGTGTAAGGGCCCTTCAATTGCCATTTATTTATTAATTTATTGTTTATTTTCATGTTGTTTTGTTTTTCATAATTTTCTTCATAGCCTAGTATAGTCGGATGGGCTATAGAACCGTACAGCATCTGTATCTACCTGAGCTGTCCCTGATATTTGCCCCTACCATTGCTGGGTGTAGGTATTGAGCAGAAAACCTCCCATAAGATGTGATAAAACGCTCCATTCAAAAATCTATTAATAAACAATAATAGACATTCAGAAAGAATAAATAATCATAATTTAAATATAGCACAGAACATTTTAATCCGTTTGCTGGACGTTCTATGAATGCCATAGGCCCTTACAATTCTTTTCTAATTTATTTATTATTTTTAGTACTTTTTTTCTTTTTAAAATTACTTTTTACAATAACTAAGGTGATTGAGACCCATGTCAGGTGATCTGAAAGAGTTGATGGCAGCACAAGTCTTTATTCGTAAGTGTTTAGCAGGTCACATTATGACGCTGCTGAGGAAAAGTAATGTACCGGTGCACATTAATTGCCAAACGTTCATGGGAAATATCACACTATTAATTTCAGTATATGAAATTTCCCATTATATTTTCATTGTCAAAAATGATCAAATTCGACCGATCTACAAACCCTAGACATTTGTAACATTTATTTAGGCATAAATGTTAATCTGTACACAT